CAACCCAATCTTACCGAGCTGACTAATCCCCTTCCCATTCCTCACCGACCACCAAACGCGTTCCTTCACCTTAATCCACCAACTTAGATCATCGCTCACTGACTCACTTACTCACATGCCATAATGCCCACTCCTTCAAAACATGTCAAATTCGTCGCCTCAGACCCTTCGCGCGGCGGTCTCCCCGTGAAGCGCAAACAAGTCCAGCACGCATGCGCTTCATGTCGCAAGAAAAAGGTGAGCACTGACACACTCCGGGAATAGAGTGAGGGTGGGGTGGCTGATTGAGTAGAGGCGCTGTGTTCATGCTGAAGATGCAGTCGATGAGACGTCGCCTCCAGTGGAAGAAGATGAGACATCCCGGTCGACGTGAGTGGGCCTCTACCTTACCTTACTTACTCTGGGCACTCCCCTCAATTGACACTCACCAGATCATTACCTTTACCAACTCAAAGAACTGCTCTCCCAGACTCTTCGCTCCAATATGCAAATCCAACCGCAAATGCAAGTCCTGCTGCGCCAACTCCAAGGCGTGAATCAGGAAGCACGCCGAATCAATCATCCCGCTTCGTGGGCGATCTCAATCCAGAGGGCATGTTCATGGAAGCTACAGGCTCAGCATCCATCCGTGAAACATCACAGAAGGGAGATGTAGGAATATGGCTTTCCTCCAACAATCCTGGCCAAGCAAGCCAATTCATCACTTCACGACCGCCCCCGATAATGGATCAGTTCTTACTACCGTTTGTCAAGGAGCATTGTCTATCGTGTCTTCCGCCCCATCAAGACTACCTCAAACTAAAAGCACTCTATCTGGAAAAGATCCATCCCATTATGCCCATCATACCGGAGACCGCGCTGCAAGGCGATGAGCCAGTGGCTGTGGTGCTAAAACAACTCATTTGTCTTGCTGCATCTGCAGACCCAAGCATGGCGCTGTATCTCCATCTCCAGAACAAAGGCGATGATCTCCTCCCCTGCCAAGACTTCATGCAATCCCTCTCCTCCGCCGTCCGCGCCATCCTCGAAACAAGCATCATAACAGACAGAGTCCTTCACATCCGCGCCCTCATCCTCCTATCCCTCTACACCCAGCCCAACTCCTCCGAGGAAGCAGACCTCCCCGCGCAACTCGGTGGCCGCGCCATTCACCACATCCAAACGCTGGGTCTTCACCTGCTTCGCTACGACGGACCCAACTCTGAGGAGCTGGAAACGCTGTTCTGTGCGGTTTGGGCGGTTGACCGGATTAATGCCGCGGTGTATGGGAGGCCGTGTGTCATGCATGAGAGGGATATCGGCGCGAATCTGGATGGCTGTATTAGCAAGAGACCGCCGTGCTTCAGGCTGTTTCTGAGTGTCGTGCAGTGGTTGGATCAGGTTATTGAGCTGTATCGCCCGGGTCCGAGTGCTGAGGCGAGCGGGTTGGATAAGATTGCGTATATTGATCTTCCAGTTCTTGAGGCCATGATCGTCAATGCAGATGCGCTTAAAGTACCAGGTTCACTAATCGGTAAGTCACCCATCTCACGGAGTACCTGACTAATGATCACAGCGACGATCGAAACATTCTATCACGCCGTCATCATCTTATCATGTCGTCTTCCACGACCTGGCACACTCACAGCAGCATCTACCCTCCCCCCTCCATCCGCCAACGCCCGTCGCTCCCTCGCAGCAGAACGCATCGCCTGCGCCGTCCTGCGCGACCACCTCTCCCCCATGCCCTTCGTCCCCTACGCCGTCTGTCTCGCCCTAAGCGTAGAGTACCGCAAGATGCGGCACTCCCGCCTGCCCATGTTCCGCTCGCGCGCCATGCACGCATTCCGTCGCAATTGCGAGATGCTCCGCAAATTCGGCGACTACTTTTGGAGCGCTAACGTTGTGGCCGGGCTGGGCGAGCGGGTGCTCAAGGAGATGGAGCGTGCTGCTAATACGCTTACGCGGGAATCACCGCCGCCGGCGCCGGTGGTGGTGAATCCAGTGGCTGTGACGAATCCGAGCATGGTCAACGCTGTGCCGAGCGTGGAGCAGGCCGTGGACTTTTCATTGATTGATGCGATTTCGGGGGCGGATGTTTTTGGAGCTATTGATCCGAATTTTAATCTGGGGGCGGTGGAGGATGCGCTGGAGGCGAATCTGGATATCGGGCTGCCGATGAACTGGGTTGATTGGGGGCAGTATGCTACGCTGTCGTGAGATGGACAGCTCAGAGTCAGAGTCAGCTACGTCTTTGATGACTGGTTGGTGTTGGCGACGGCTAAAAGCTTACTTTGGTGGTGATGCTCGGCGCGGCTATTTCCAAAGCTTTTGGTAAGACGATGACCACGCAAGATGACAGACGCTCACAGTCAGCGACGAATGCTTGGGCTATAAAAAGTGGCTTTGATGCTGGTCTGGAATGCATTTCGTCTTAAACGTCAGTCACCATGTGAAAAACATCATCGAAAGATATCAGCATTGAGATTGTCCCTCTTCTCGATAACACTACGAATACACATACCCAGCACACTACACCAAGACCCAGTCGACTAGAGCGACACAGGGTGAACTTGAAGAAATGGGGACAGTTATCGGCGTTGATTGGGAAGAATATAAACATGGTGGCGTGTTGTCTGCCGTGTAATCTCTAGGATGGACATGGCGTTTGCAATGATACACGATTCAGCAATGAGTGAAAAGACATGGAGCGGCAGAGGGTATGATTGGCGGCCCGTAGGCGCGGTAATGTACAGTAAATCGACCGTTCATGTATGTTTCCAAACGATCTCGCTAACGGCGCAGACAGATAAAGGTCCATCGACAAGATAGTCGGAGTCTTTTGCGTCGTGTCGGTCGCACATCGTCGTGCTGATGCGAATGGCTTGGAGGGAGGATCAAGGAGAGCGTCGTCTCCTCGGTTCAAGCGAGCGACTTGGTCGTCCTTAATAAATACCGTCCATCTCCTCGCTGGCCATTTCAAGATCCCGCAACGAACGTATGGTTGTAGCATTCGAGGTTCGTATCGCACGAGTTGGCTAGTAATCGCCTGTTCCATTCGCTTATCTTACATCCTTCAATCCAACTCCTTCATCACAGCGTAACCGGGGTATCATAAGTCATCGATCCATCTCTTTCACTTCCTCGTTATATCCGTCGGCTTCCCTCGAAACTGATTCTTAATCTCGTCCAGAAAATGCTTCGCAAACTCTGAATTTTTACCAGCCGTATTCGGATCCGCCGTCGCTTCGCCGGGTGCCAAAGGCTCGTGAGGATTTCGTCCGTGTTGCTTCTCGTGGATGGTCTTGTGGATGCGTGTTACTGCGCGGTGGAAGCCTGGTTGGCGGAGGATCTAAGGCGTGATTGTTAGTAAGAAATGGAAGCGGTTGAGGCCGGGAGGCGTACGGATGCGACGATGTGATCCTGGAGTTTGTTAGTGATTGAAATAAGGGGAAGGGAGAGTAATGGGACGGACTTCGAAGGATTGGATTGCGCGGAGGAGCCACCAGTGTGCAGCCATTTTGGTGAGGAAGACTGTTAATTGAAGATGCTGAATTCAAGATGGAGATGGAGATGTTGGAGTGGCGGCGTTAGTGGCGGGAAATGGAGGGGCGAGCAAGGATGACAAATGGATCTAATCTTGTGTGACAGCTTGACACCTCCAGCTACAGCTACAGCTACCCTGAACTTAGCATGAGCCAATCAAGCACTCATCAACACAAAAGCTTGAGAGCATCTAGAACTTAGAATAACGTCGAATTATCTCAAGCTTAGTACATACTCATCCTCCTAAAGTCAAATAATACAAGGATTTAGATCTTGGTCACATTCAACAGACGCCTCACTCACTCTCAACCATGCAGCCTCAGTCAACGTCAAATCACTTTTATTAATCCCAATCCACCAGCTTTAATCTATCAGAGCTTAGAAGTACTGGTTCATGAAAGCACCGATATAGTCCTGCTTCCCCAACTCAACCCCCTCCTTTCTCAAAATCGCATACGCAGTCGTCAAATGGAAGAAAACATTAGGAATTCCATATCCCTGCACATAATCCCTAACCTTCATATCAGCACTCTTCCCCGGTCCCAACCCGATAGTAACAATCTCAGCACCACGCTTCTCAACAAGTTCTCTATCAGCCTTCTCAACGACCTCGAGAACCTGCGCGATACGAGCCTGGTACTGCTCAAATGTAGTGCACTCGTCGCGGGCGAGGGTGAGCGGCTCGCTGCCGGTTGTGCGCGCGACAATCTTCTGCGCTGTGTCGGTGGTGAAGTGGACCTGGAAGCTGAGGTCCAGCATGTCAGGGGCCAGTTTGGCGGTGGTGAATGAGGCGGCGTTGGCGTGGGATTCGGCCTTTTTGAGGATGGAAGACAGGGAGTTGAGGGCTTCCTTGGTGTGGAGGATGGCGGCGTCGTAGAGTGTGTAGCTCATGGTGGGCAGTGAAACGGCGATGAAGAGTGAATTGGGTATAGTAGTGTATTGCGTGATGAAGTTTGTCTGTCCGAACAATCCGAGAGGCGATGGCTACGGGGTATATATATCTGTCTGTCTCCCCCGTTTCAAGAGACCTCAACCTTTCTCCACTGTCTTCACCGCTTGCTTTACTAATGGACCTTTCCAGTTCCAGTTTCCCCCTCAGATCGACCCGGTTGAAGACTCTAGATGCTTCCTCGATTAGTAATGGAACCATTAAGAACCACTACGGACCCTTTGAGACCATTGCGGAGACTGGCAGTAACGCTAAACGTCTCCGGATCATCGCTGTCCGACATCCGTGCGGGTTAAGGGACACGGGTGCTTTTGTTGGACGTGCGTTGAACAAGTGTTCTAAGCGGTCCACGATCCATGAAACGTCGGCTTACAAACCAGAGTTGATTACAAACTACCTGATCAGAGTGAGACACGGAGAACCAGAGAAATGACCGGCAGACACGAATGCAGAAATAGCCGGTGTGGAAATAAATGACAGGTAACCGAAGAAATGACCAACAAGAAATCATAATTGAGGCCATCAACTAAAACCCAAGGATCCGATTCGCCTCCCTAACAACCTCCCCTTCCCCTTCCGTCCTCAGCGCGCTCAGGCCCATCGCCCGACGAGCCGCGCCGTCCAGCATGTCCTCCGTGCCCCGCCCCACATGTCCGGACTCCCCTGCCCCGCCTGGGAAATCCGGTCCCGGCGTGCCACGGAGGAAGGCCTCGCGCTGGCGCACCATGTACTCTGCGTTCTGTGCCGTAATGGGGCAGATGGGGATGTACAGCACCGACGAGTCTGCTGTTCCGGCGTGTACTTTGTCGACTGAGTGGATTGCTAAGTGCTGTTAGTACTGATTCAATGGACAGTGATATTGGGGTAGTTGGAGGGGAGAGACTTACTGTCGCAGTGCCATGCTACGAAATCTCCAGGCCGTATCTCAGGAACGTGGACCATCGTCTTCTCAAGCTCCAGATGCGGATGCAACTCCCCCGTCAACTCCTGTCCCGTCCCCGGCGTCGCACCCTGCAACTCACTATCAACATCCCTCATCAACTCCCAATTCCCCTCCTCCAAGTACCCCTGCCCCAAATTATCACTCTTTGCCTTAAAAAACGGCCTTAGCAGCACATAAGCCATAGAAAGCTTCACCAGCGGATTAACCAACAACGTCCCCTCCCCAGGCTTAGTATGGCTCATGCTCATCCACCCCTGCCACATTCTAAACATCGAACAAGCACCTAATCCATCGTACCGATTGTTCACAGCGTCAACACGTCCGCTCGCATCCCACGGATCGTAGGATTCCCAGTTCCCTTGGAGGATGGCGTCGTAGACGTGTCCTGCGCCGTACCCTTCTGGCTCCCAGCGCTCGACGCTTCCGCCGTCGATGTGCGGACCGAGAGCGAAGCTGGCGTCGCCGGGTTGGCGGATACGTAGGCGGTCGGCGTAGCTGAAGGGCTGGGAGAGGGAGATTGAGGCTGGGCATGTGGTGTGCCAGAGAGACATGAGGTTATGTTGCACGCTGAGGAAGTTGGGGTGTGAGCGGGCTTTTAGTTGGGGTGGTGACCAGTATAGTTCGTAGACTTGAGGATCGTGAGGTGGAAACGCTGTATTTGTTAGTCTAAGTCAATTGACATGGGGAGGGTAGTGTAGGGGTAGATACCTCGTGTAGATGGATTCCTAGCAACATACTCCTCCACCTCAGCCTTATACGCCCTCGCCTCACCCTCCGGAACAACACCCCTCACCACAACAACACCTCTCTTCTTGACCTCCTCCCTCAGCGCATCACTGCTCCTCTCCAGATCCTTAAACTCAATCTGGGGTATAACACCCGGTCCTTTCTGTGCAACAATCTCATTCTCCCGCTTCAACTCACGAAGGAGCTTGTTCCACGATTGAACGATCTTATCTTGACGACCTTGCAGGAGATTGAGTTTCAGCTGACGATATCGATCGGGTAAAGGCTCGCGCTGGGCCCCGGACAGCGACGTAAATGCATCCGAGATGTCGCCTTCTTTTTTGGCGGCTAGCGATGTCATGCAGCGGCGGAGGACAGGGGGGGAGGGCTTGGCTAGGGATGCACGGAGCATTTTGACAAAAGATACCGGAATTTGATGGGGAAGAGATGAATAAGACAGTAGGAATTATGAGGAGGCTGTGATAAGATAGAAGACGATACAGAATGGTCAAAAGATAATGGCGTTGGATCTTATATCGAATTGAGGAGAACGCGGTCTTACTCCATTCGGACATTCCGCATCGCACCTCGAAAAGCAAGAAATTCTTCCCCAGCTTCGGGAAATAAGAACCTTGTTCAATGTGGGGTTACCTCTTGATCACGACATTCAACTGTCTTGAGCAAACAAGACATCAAGTTACCATTTCACAGGGACAGGACCGCAGTTTAATCTCTAAAAGTGACCAAAACTCTCCCGAATTGTAAATAGAATCACTACACCATCACCACTTCAGCATCAATCATCATAATACCCAAATATATTCCCCAACACCAACAAAAAAGAATACCTGTACTCAAGCTATGCACTCCAGTTATACACATGTAATCAACACCTAGCTCCCATCTATGCTAATAATTAACCGCCCTTGCATCCCATCAACTCCACGCTTTTTCTTTTTAATCCAGGTCTCCTAGAGCCCTCTTCATCCTCTCCTTCAAATCTCTATTCTCCATCTCCAGCCCCCCTAACCTCTGCCTCGCAGCATGTCTATCCTGGTTCCGACCCTCCCGCTCCATCTTGAGCTTGTACTCCATGTCGCGCAGTCTAAACAACCACCTGTTATCGTTCGCAGCGCCATTATTCTCCTCGCTCAGAGCAGCCATGTCGCGGAGCCCTAAACCTCCCGCCGACGAGCCTGGTAGTGCGGTGGTGGTGTGTGCGCGCGTGACGGTTGAGCGGGATTTGGAGCGGCTTGTGCGTTGGTCGTTAGGTCCGCGAGGGACGGAGGGTGAGGGTGAGTGAGGAACTAATTCGGTGCTGGAGTATGAAGCTCGGGCGCGCACGTCGTTTGCGGTGCGGAGCGTGGCGTTTTCGACTTTGAGCTGGCGGTATGCTTCTTCGAGGCGGGAGTACCTTGCGTCGTGGCTTAGAGATCCTGAAGCGACCGAGTTTCTAACCATGGTTTCAAGACGGTCCAGTTTCTTGGTGCGCACATCGAGGTTGGACTCGAGGGTTTGATACTCCCTGTGAAGATCGCGCTCGACGGATTTGATGCGGACTTCGAAGGAGCCGATCATGTTCTCGATGGCTTTGACGGCGGCCATCAGGTTCTTGGTGAAGCTGGGCAGGCGGTTGGCGATGACTTCGATTGAGGGGAGGACCTGGCGATCGATGAGGGAGTTCCCGTGGACCCATTCCCTTCCGCACAATTTACTGAGCTTGTGCCAGAGCTGTAACAGTAACTCATTGCGCTCCTGTAGCTGATCGCGCATCGACTGCTCAAGCTGTGCGATCCTCCTGCGATCTTGGCTCTTGTTCGTCTCGAGCTCAGCTATGCGAACATCTTGACTACTTGCAGTACGTGTAAGGTGTTGGTGAGACTTTTGGAACGTGTCATACTGCGATTTCGTGTTGCGGTGGGCAATGCGCTCCTTGTCGAGTAATTCGGCCAGTTTGCGACTCTCAAGGGCATGCGACTCGAGGAGGGAATCGCGCATCTTGATGATACGATCCTTCTCCACAAGCGCCGCCTTGCTGGCATCAAGATCGCGGATCGTATTCTCAAGCTCTCGTTGTAACTTGGCGATTGACTAAGATCGTTAGCGTGCATCCCCCACAGATACGAGACAAGACAAGACAACTCACCTTGAGGAGTGAAGAGCGGGTACCGTTGAGGTCACCGAGAGCTTCACGAAGATTATTCTCAAGCTCCATCAACCTCTCCTTCCACTCTGTCGCCTCAACCTCCCTCGACGTCAAGTTCTTACGCAGACGACGAGCCTCATCCTTGGCCGCTGACGCTTCCCGGTTGAGCTCGTTGACAAACTGCTGGACCTCCTCCTTCTCCTGGTCCGCCACGATCTCTCGCTGGTGTCGCTCTTGTTGGAGACGGTTCTCCAGTTCCTTGACCCGTTCCTTTTCTTCGCGGATGCTCTGTTCAGCATTGGCCATCGCAGCTTCAAGATCGCCGATGCGTATCTTGTCCGTCTCTTGCTCTTCTCGTAGGAATGCAATCTCTCCCTGTGAAGACTCTTGCTGTACAGAAAGTCGCTGGTTCTTGTCATTCGCCTCCATGAGCTTCTGCTCCAGCTCTTCCAGCTCCTTGTTCGACGAGTCCAGTTCCTGCTCGAGTTGTTGGATGCGTCGCAATTTGTTCTCCTGGTCGTCTTCAAGTCGTATCAAGGCTTCGCTCATCTTGCGCATCTCTTCCTGCAAGGCGTCAAAGTTTTCTGAGCGGTCCTGTAGATCTGCTTGTACTCGTTGCATCTCCTCAGCTTGTTGGTCGGCCTCAGATTCCAATGCATCAATCTCCTCTTGAGCCTCCTTCCGTAGTGCTTCAAATTCGCTCTCCATCTCGTTCTGCTCACGGAGAGCTTCGTCACGTTCGGATTGTAAAGCAACAAGATCGTTCATCGCATTGTTGAGGTCCTCCTGCAGAGCCATCGCTGCTTCTTCAGCCTGTCGCTTGTCGCCAATAGCAGCCTCAAAGTCCTCCATGCAAATCTCAAGCTCGCGCTGCAACTCTTGGTTCTGCAGCTTGACCTCACTGAGTTTGTCGCGCATCTCGTTCATCTTGTTCTCGAACTCTTCGCGGTCGGCTTCCTCCTCAATCTGCGTCCGTGTCTTCATGCTACCCCGCGATTGGGGCCTCTCCATACCACCAACCTGTGAGGCCGATCGCTCGAGGAGACTGTCAATTGTTGAAGGAGCAGGCCGACCTCGTCGCTGAGCCATCTTGAGATCCTCAATCTCCTGGTAGAGGCGCTCCTTTTCGCGGTTCCTCGAAGTCAGCATGGATGTCTGCGCACCAACCTCGCGTCTCAATTCGGCATTCTCATGTCGTAGCTGCTCACTCTCGCGACGTAGTTCATCAACGAGTGTAGTCGCAGCACTAAAATTGCCGTTTGAGCTCTCCATGTCGCCTGAAAGGCCAGAGACAGGTCGACCTGGTGACACATTGCCGTCGCGATGTTTCTTGGTGATGTTATAAATGTTTGTCGTGTGGTGTAAGCCTCCCCCGCTAGTCAGGCTAGACATGTCCTGCTTTAGCTTGAACACCTCCTCCCGTAGTCTCTTATTCTCGTCATCGGCTTGTTCTCTGCGCGCAGTCTCTTGCTCCAGGAGATCCTTCCAAACATCGGCCTCTTCTTGTCGCTCCATGTTTTCGCTGGTACGCTCACCAAGAGATCTGACAATATCCGCAAACTTTCGTCGCTCATTCTCCTTGGTTAAACTTTCCGACCGTAGGCGCTCAATCTCAGTGGCATACTCCTCAACACGTTCCCGCAAAAAGATGAGCTCTTCTTCTCGCTCTTCGTCTCCCATTCGGGCCGTTTGGTCTGTCGATGATGCACCACTGTGCGCTGTGCTTGGACGCTCTCCCTCATCTCGGACTTGCTTCTCCAATTCTTTAACCCGCCTCCGCAAAACCTTGTTGTCACGTTGGAGTACCGCAAGACCAGTCTTAAGGTCAACATTCTCCGAGATCATTTCCTTGATACCCTCTTCCGACAGCTTGTCGAGGCGATCGCTCAAGAACATAACTTTGAGCTTGAGATCGAAGTTTTCCTTTGACAGCCTCTCAATCGTACTGCTTTGTTCTTTGAGCGTCAAGTTCTTGCCCGATCGGGCGGTATTGACGGAACCCATGGTGATTGAGGAATGTTTCCGAGGTGTTTCGAGTCCACCCTTGTACTTGTACTCCTTGGCCAAAGATTCGGGTACCTGGACGTTTCTAACGTGCCGTGCGATGACCGTATCTGTAGGCGCTGTGGTGAACCCTTCCTTAGAGGGCTTTGGTGTCTCTAGCAAATCCTGTCGCTGCCGTTCGGGACTATCGACTTCGTGAAGCGGTTCGAGTTGCGGTAGAGAAGTATCAGTGTAATCCTCGGCGCCAAATGCCGATCCAACACTACCCATGCTTCCTATGCTGATGGATCGTAGCATTGGGTTGCTGGGATTTCGTAGCATTCCAATTGCGGGGACTGCACCGCCAGACTGTAAAGCGTAATCGGTACCAAGACCAACGGTCATGTCACTGCCTTCGTGAGACTCCGGGTTCGTGGCAAATGAGGAAGTCGACGATCGCTGGCTTCCAAAACGACTGCGCAGGTATTTTGGTCGTCGGCTTCGAAGCGATTGACCAGGGGTGCTGCCTGCATCGACTCTGTCGGACAAGGAATGTGTTCTCGATAAAGGGGCCTCGTTATCGCCAGCGCTAGATACCTGCGAGCTCTCTTGTTCCGTGTCGTCCTTTTCGCTCTCGTCGTAACTTGTGTTGCGATTGTCAGGCTGACTCGCCATACTAACGGCGCGCGAAATAGTTCGTCGTGTTGCAGCTGCAGTCGGTGACGAAAAGTTCTCAAAGCCGGAAGTATTCGTGCTCGCGACAGTCACATCGTGATCCTCCTCTTCTTCCTGATGTCGCTGCAGAGGCTGGGGAGCAGGCGCAGGCTTTTTTGTCGGGGAATCGAATTGGTACGTGTCGTCGACGCCGCCCTCCTGGTTCGTGGATGCAGTTGGAATGGGCGACAAGGCGGGCAAGAAGCTAGACTCCACGTCTCTCAGGTGGCGTCTAACGTCCTCCTCAGTCAAGGAATCGTCATGTCCGCGTGTGACATCGACGGAAATAGGGTCGAAGTAGCTGGTTTCAGGGGCAGAGTGGCCAGGCAGATGCAGCATCGAGTCTTCGTGGCTTGTGGGGGGATTGCTGGTGCTCTGGGGAATTGTCCGGGTCTGGGATTTTGCGTGCGTATCATCAACGGTTATCGCTATGTCGTGTGGAGATGTCGCTGTGGTTGGGTTTGTTGGCTGGGCTTGCGACGTGTCGGCGGCTGTATCGTCAGTCATCTCTGATGTCTCAGTGGTCTCCAGATCATCGCTGCCGGTGTGTGAGACGCGATGGGCCGTCTGTGGACGCGACCCGTCCCTGGTGCCGCTTGGACTCGGGCTTGGGCTGGGATCCTGAGCCTTTGGGCTCTGGCTGTTTTCTCGCTCATCGTTGGCCATGATGCATTGCGGCGACCGCTATGCGAGGCAGCTGTGGTGGATTTTGATTGATGCAGATGCGAATGTGGATGGAGATTGTCGGGTATTGAATGGGGATGCTGAATGTTTTGTCCTTCTGGGCATCGCCCGCCTTAAGCTCTCACTAAAGAGAAAACCTGACTGCGCTAAAGTCCATCCCTCCAGGGCGCCGTTGATGGTGTACAATTTCAACCAATGATAGTCTGTATCGTCCCCCCTGCGGTGGTTATTTAGCGGCGGTTGGAGGGGAAATAGCGGGGCTGATCCCTGTGGTCGAATTGAAGCTTTGCTCGTTGCTTGGGACAACCTGCCAGCGCTTTATGCATCAGTCTACGGATTGAAGAGTTCAATGACATCGATACTCTAATTCACAGCAAAGCCTCGTCATGGATGTGAAGATACGAGGTGATTACACTTTTGATCCAGCCTGAGACAGTCAACTTGCTTTTGATCGTCAGATCGCAGGCTGAAACAAGGGTTCGAGTTGGAGAATTCCTAAGCGAGTAAGCAATTCGTATCGAAGTGAAACAATCCTTCACAGCTTCGTTTATTTTGTGGATTGATGATGATTCGCAGGCGTTTGATCTACGATGCTCCGTGGCAGTGATTCACGTCAACCTTGATGTCACTCTAGACCCATCGAATTGAAGTAATTATGTCATATTAATTCATGCTCACTATTTGAGCTTCCATCATTAAATATTGTCCCTCTCTCTCTCTCTAGTTACCTTAGTTAGAGATCTTGGGGTCGACCTTGTTGCTGGAGTATTGTTAGCCACAGTTCAAGCCACAATCAGTGACAAACGCCACTTACCCAGTCTGCTTCTCGTACTGGCTGCGGGCAAAGTCGGTGGCCTTCTCCTGGTTGTCGCGGGAGATGTTGAAGCCGCCCTTCTTGTTGAGGAAATCGATACCTGTGAACGTTCATGTCAGTGGCTTGTCAAGGTCCGTGAGGGATTTGGAGTATGTACCCTTATCGACATAGTCCTCCTGGTTGTTGGAGTCGGTCTTGGAGTCGGTCTTGGAAGCATCAGCAGGCTTATCCGTAGAGCCACCAGACATAGCGTTCTTGACGAAATCCATTGTGAGTTTGAGTGGGTTGATTTGGTTTGTAGATGTAAGTGAAGTGGTTTGATGTGATAGACCTCAATCAAGCAGCGACATTCCGTCCTTCTTATACCTCTCAACCCGCAGCTAATAATAACGAACCATGTCCAACTTTGTTCAAGTCTCTTTTGCAGAATGGAGAAATAAAACCGGCAGATCCATTCGATCTCACCAAAGTGCCAACATCTGCATGCCCCCCTCTTTCGTCATCTCCCACTTTACAGGGGTTTAGCCTACGTCACTTCGGACCCTGAGTTACCAAGAACGGTTCCGAATCTCACGGCACGAAATGCCGATGGTGATTCTAATTCCAGTATATGACTCTGGGTATTTCATCATGGCTGTTTCAAAAGACGGAAAGCTTCTTGGCAGATTGTCGCGATGCTTTCCTGGTGAGGGGTAAGGGAGGCCTCGACGTGAAAGCTGAGCTAGTGACACCGCCGTGCAATGGGAGCTGAAAAGATAACAGGAGGGCTAATGAGGATCGAGCAAAGCGTCGGGGGTCAAAGGGTCCAGAGCTTCTCTCAGTTAGCTTGGAGATTGAGGGAGCCAGGGGGGGAAGAAACTTAGGATCTTTAGCCTAAGGGATGAAAATACCTAGGTAAATTTAGGATATTCTAGTAGAACTTTAGACCAGTTTATTCCGTCATCTTGATTTGATGTCGAAGTTTTATGTCTCCCTGTGGGCAGCCAACATGTGATGATCCCCTCAAAAGGTCATTTGATGATATGCATAGTTACTCCGTAGTGCCAATTAATGTTCTCGTCTATACTATTCCAATAGAATGCCTGTAAATGCACCAATGTTCTGTTCAGTCCAACTCCATCCAATGCAAACAAACATATTATAACAATCATGCAACTCCAGACTTCATGCCATGCTTCGTAACTTCGTCATTAATCTAATTATTCCCCCTCTGCATTTCCCTCATCTGTCGGCTATGAGTTGACAAAGACTTGGTACGCCATGATCATAACCCAGACGAAGAAGACAGTACCAGTAAGAGCCATCGCAAAGACGAGCTGCCATGATTGACCTGCACAAGTTAGCAATGGAACTTGACCTCGAACGTGAGACATAAAAACGTACAGATGTTTCGTTGTTGAAGCCACGCCATCGTCGCCATGCTCGTACCCTTAGGATTCCTTCCAAAGACTTGAACATCGCATACGCTCTGAATAGATCCATCGGGTCCAAATAACTGTATCGCTACGACGACGAGTCCCACGAGCCAGAGTATGAAGAACATGAAGCCGCCGACCATTACGATGGCGGGGAGGAGGCGTCGTTGGCCGATGAGCCAGAAGATACCGAGGATGAACAAGATCGAGAGTGAACCAACGGTGATGAAGTAAGGAAAGTACCTGAAGACGTTAATAAACCTCCTCTCAATAAACAGTGTATGGGAGACGTACCATGGAATTCCAAGCTCAAGTTGAGTCTGGATCTGTATAAAGGTCGCAAACACGCCAATGATGCTCGTCGACGCGAGGAGAATAACAAAGATCCAGAAGTTCAATTGCCAAGGAGGCCAGTTGTATGTTCGAACATGTGTAGACGGCGGAGGCCCATCGTAGGTCATTGACGATCGTGTGAAGCTCGTTCCCGTCCATCCTGTCGTGCCGGTCAAGCCGGTAACCGTTGATTTGGCGACCATTTCGTCTGTATCAATCAAGAGTGAATAACACGCTCAATATGTCGTCGAGGTCGTCAAGATATAGTATAAACCGTCAAAAGCCCAAGAATCACGCGTCGCTGGTTGTTTCTTCCCGCAATGCCAAAAAAGACTGCCACGTCGCAGAACAGCCCCGCCGATCGGCGACCAGTGATTCCAGCGTCGCCTTGAAGGGAACCTCAATCCGTTTCTCTCGTGAAGATAGTTTGGGTGCCTCAAAATTGAAGCTGCTGCGTTGATGCCTCACGCGTTTATCTCTCCGTTGGTGTTTTCTGTGCGTGCCGTTGGATCGGGGATTTCAGGTGTGGAGATGTGGTGCGTTGGCTGGGGATCTAACGTCGGGTCGAGATGCCCAGAGATACCAATTGAGGCCCCTTATCAGGTATTAATCACACGATAGCGATTAATGTCTTGGTGTTTCGATACTCAGGAAGAATAAAAGCAAAAGGAAGGAAAAAAGAACAAAAGTCAACAAGACAGGGGATGAAAAAAGGTCCATCCAATTGAGGTCAAGTGTGAAATTACAACAAAGCGTCTTTTGGGTGAGGCTTCTGTAGAGGGGGTTGGTTGGTGGCTGGGGATGCGACGCAGCAGGGGATGATGACGCTGCGATGGCCTCTGAATGGTTACACGTCAAGAGACAAGATCCGTTTTCCAGCCTTTGAGATGGATTCTTTACGATTGATCAGAAGATCGGAGAAATTATTTGTTACGTTTCAGTACCGAATGTGCCGGAATCAAATGTCATTTTCATCAAGTCCCGAGGAAAGAAAGACATTTTATTTCGAGAGTGATCTCGCAGCGCAGCCAGCGCTTGTATGTTATGTACCTAATGCATATGCACCGACCCAATTCCGTTCATTCAACTCAAGGATATCATCAATCGTCTCACAAAATCCATCCCAAATTTACATTTATATTTACAAAAGTGTCTCGCCAAGAGCACACCGCACCAGTGAACATCCAGCGTGGATTGTGTTCTGCTCAGCTTGCTTACCATCTGCGAGCTGAGGGTTCACCTCGACGAGATCAATGGCGACAAGGTTTCCTGTCTCGTGCACGCTCTCGCAGATGAAGTCTCCCTCGCGGAGAGTCAGACCGCCGCGGACGGGTGTGCCGGTGCTGGGCGCCCACATGGGGTCGAGGGCATCGACGTCGAAGGATAGATGGATGGGGGTGTCGTTTCCGATGTGAGCGAGGGCCATCTCGACAACGCGGCCGATACCATGTCTGTAAAGGTTAGTGAAGCTCATGAGCGCAGAAGTGAGATACTTACCGGTCGACATCGTGCATGCTGAAAGCCTTGATGCCGTGCTCACGGAGAATCTTCTTCTCGCCAATATCAACAGATCGAAGACCAATGTAAACCAGCTTCTTAACGCTCAAGCGCATATCATCCTCAAGCCAGCCAAAGTACTCTTCGTTATCCTCCTTAGCAAGACCAGTCAAGAAAGCAACAGGCATGCCGTGAATGTTTCCGCTATCGCTGCTCTCAGGAGTGTTGATGTCCGCATGCGCATCAACCCAGATAACCGCAATCTCGCGGTTCAGCCTCTCCCGCGTAGCCTTGGCAGTACCAGCAATAGTACCGATGGCAATGCTGTGGTCACCACCGAGGGTGAGGGTCATGCGGCCCTCGCGCGAGTGCTCGTATGTGTGCGATGCGATCTTGCGGGTGACGGCGGAGGCGTGACGGGCCTTCTTCATGCCGCGGTAGTCAGGGTCAGAGGCGGGTACGAGGTCCTCGAACTGCTGGACGGTCTCGTCGCCAAAGAGCTTGTAGCCGAGCTCGTCGCGGATCTCGGTCAGGAGGCCGGACTCGATGAGGGCGGCGGGACCGATGTCGACGCCGGCTTTGGGCTGGCCGCCGGAGAAACCGACGGCGACGATGCCGACTTCATCGGGCTTGGAGAGGAAGCGGCTGTTGACGAGACCGGTGTTCATGATGGGCGGAATGTGGGGGGTGACGTAGAGGTTGAGATGTGATAAGATAAGGGGAAGTGAAGTGAAGATAAGAAGTGAAGACAAGTTGGGGAAGAGATGAAGATGGGCTGAGTTGAGTTGAGTTTAAGAAGAGTTTGAGTAGGTAGAAAGAGATGGGAAGACGCCTCCATTTGTATTCGGAGGTCAATGACAGTTCTCATCCTCCCTCGGCCTCTTTGAACCCTCTCATGGCTGCAATCGGCCGGCGGCACAGACACACATTTTCTCCCTCTCCCCAAGACAATTGAATATGGATAAGGTAATAGCGTCGGTTTCGGACGGGCGCGGGGGTTTCTCTTACACTCTCCAAAGGTTATCAACAGCCTGCGACTGGCACATGTCAAGGGTCATAAGACAACCCTTTCGAGTCTAGAAGAGATACTTTACATACATGACAGATACAGATGCTGTGATTCTGTTGGTCCCGCTCATCTGGGTTTGTTTCTCTTACGCACATCTTCTCCATTTTTCCGCTTGCTATGTGTCCATTCAATTCCCGCCTGCTCCAAAATCCCCGATTCCCCAATTTGAACAGGTCTCCTCCACTTTGAGTCAAGTGCCGACGATATATATCCTATGTTTTTCGCCTTGTCTAATACCTCTATATCTTCTCATAACACTATTATCTTCATCTCGTTGTCTCTGCTGTCTTTTGCCGCCGGCCATGGACGTGGGATGCACCGCTCACAGCCGTAGATAGCCTCTATTGATCTTATGTAATGTTAGGTAATACCTCTCGCGCATGCCATGGTCGTGGTCGGCACTCTTTACCCCTAAGTTACTAGCTGTGTTTTCGACGGAGGAGTCGGCGCATAAGAGTCGCGGGTCTGCCTTCCCCTAAGTTACTAGCTGTCTCTGCAACTTTCCCCTAAGTTACTAGCTTTCTGGAGTTTGTGTCTTGTCTCTGGTTTTGCGTCCCACGCTCCAGCGCCCGCAAAGCGTTTTTCCATGGTTGGGGCTTGTTATCAAAGACCCAGAAATGGACCGACGTGACCCGGTTGAGATGGAACTTTTTACGCAAGACAACGAAAGGTCGTAGACCGATTTTACGCCGACGCGAATCCTCGAGAGGGCGTGATGCTGTCACCGGCCATTGAGTGAGGCCGGTTTATTTCCTTGAGCTGGGGAAGCTCCGGAGCCGCACCTTTTTACCCCACCGCTAACAGTTCTCACTGAAGCTGACGATGATCTCGACGCTTTGTTCTCGACAGACCGCAACTCGCACACTCAGTAAAAAATCACGGAGATACAGAAGCGAAGGGATTGCACGGCCTTGGCGATACAGAAAAGATCCTCACATGACGGAACACGGATCTCGAGACGGATACGGCAGGTCACAGAGGGATTTAATATTCTGGCAATTATTGGCGAAGTTGACAGATCACTCTGTTGGACAAGTGAGCCGGATAAGCAGCAGATTGGGGTAGGACGAAAACACCGAGGTCATTCGCGATATCCTCCAACCCAGGCGAGCCAATAACATGGTCACATCATGAACAGAGCAATTAGTATGGAATGAAGCTTCGACTGACGTAGGCTGACTCAGTAGATCAGCTGACTATCCATATGGAAAATTCCATGACAGCTCGTATTCATGACATCGGGCTTTTTAGACTCTCGTTTGTTTCGGATGCGTTCTCCACTGGAAAAAGCTTAGCATCTTGATACCCTGAGAGTATTAAAGATGGAGGAATGCATTGAATTGCTGGTTTTACGAGATGGGGCAGAATTTCACTACCGGTATTCTCGTACTCGGTATGAACCGGCAGTCCGTCTAAGGGTGAGTCGTGCCAAGCCGTCAGCTTCGAGGTTTGCTTCTATTTGTGATTCAGGCGCGAGATCCCGTGAACCTGTCTCTGTTTGGCAGATCTGTGATGCAAACAGTCAGTCCAGTGTTTGTCAACTCGATCGTTGTTACAGTGAGATTGTGATAGCCAAACATTCAGCTGTGATCAACATTAACAAACAAACACTCGTCAACAAATACACCTCCTAACGGCATGTAAACAAACAAACAGGCAAATTCGATATCCACTTGATCTCATCCAATATTCACTTCTTCCATGGATCTTTAGGAGAGATCGCGTGCCCGGGAGCGGAGACTAGCAGCCACACCGTTCAGGGGCTCAATTCAAACCGCTGCATGCGCCGTCGGGAGGGAAGGATAGGATATTATTAGATCGATTCTGTGCGGCTGAAATTAACAAACTATTTGGAGAAACATAAAAAGCTTGGCTATCGAAACGCCGTTGTGAGGCATTCGGTGCTGTTTCCCGTTGTGTACCTTGCAGCACGATAATTCAGTGGGACTTTGGATTGTAACTTGATTAATTGAAGCTACTAAGCTACTAGAAGTGGACATGCTCAATTAACTACCTACCTGGTTCATTTTTTTACGGTGAGGAATGAATGATAATATTCATCGCTATGTTTATTATCCAAGTTGCAAGTTGATGAGAGAATCCCTGTAGTTTAATCAGAAACAGCTCTGACACGCGTCCCCTCATGGATCAACGTCCATGTCCCAATGAAACTGTGCAACTCGCATCAACCCGCTTTGTCCTCATCACAGGCGACGTTGCAAAAGCGTACACTGTCCTATCCCTCTCTCCCTTGAACATGTCTAACCGATACATACTCTAGCAATGAGATTGGCTACTCTCTCTGAGACACCAAACACGTTTCCCGTCAGATCAATCGCCTGTGTTGTCAAAGTACTGTACCTACAGAGAAACAGTGCCACCGTAAATACAACCTGACGCGTGTAAAGCGTCTGATCGACCCCTGATTTATCCAAGTTTAATCCCAAGATGCAACAGATAATGTGGATTCTTCCCTTTCATAGCGCCTACAGCACCTGGCTCCCCTGTAGGAAGGGAAAAAATAAGAACCCCCGATGCAGAGAGACCCACAGAAACGTCCCCTACCTTACTCCAAAATCGCCCGTCCAAGCCCCTGAGTTGTATACCTCCATCTCCCGCAGAATTAGTACGGAGGGAAGAGGTATCTCTGGCCGGCAGCTAAATTGGTGAATCCCACATTTTAGGTTGGGCTAGTCTGAAGCTGGAGCTGTTCCCTGCTTGCTATTTGAGATCGCACGCAAATTGATTGCTTGCAAGCTCCTTTCAATTCTAACTAAACTCCTCCCTCATTCCATTGCAGCGATTCATGTTCCTTTTTGTCATTCTCCTAGACCTCTTTCTCTCTTTGTCTCTTCCACGACTAGAAAGAAAAAGCCTCACTTCGACTCGGCGTGGATATCTTCTTCTTTCTTCGAGATAAACCCCCTTTTATTTGACAATCCTTGTCTGTCCAGTCTCTTCCTACTGTACAACCATTTAACCCACCCTCCCCACGTTTGAACACACTGCAGATATACCCAAAACGAACGACTTGGCATCTTCCGTTCCCGAACGGCCATACTCACAGACCGATTAATCATGTGTTGAAAGAGCGACTGCTTTTTATCATCTTCGACGTTTTCTTCCTTTTGTCTTCGTCGCTAAAGTCTCACAAAAAACCGTCGCCGTCTTTCTTGCCCCGCGATCGACACCACTTCTTTCCACTACCGCATTCGTCATCCCTTTCGCCCTCCTCGACAAAAAAACCCTGCGCATTCGATTTCTGTCGCTGGCGTCAGATTTCTGCGCCGTAATCGGCTGCGATAATTCACTGTCGGATAGCTCGAACACCGACGACATGCCCAAGATGCTTGCGCCTGGTTTCAGGACGCGGCGCAGCTCCTCCTTCATTCGATTCGGCGCCCTCGCTGCTCTCGTTCTCTTTGCGTTTTGGTCCTTTAGCAATCGCTCTCCTGCGCCGTCTCTGCTACCGATACATAAATCACAACCTGCTGCTGCTGATGGCGCTGATCCGTTTCCTGTGAAAGCAGCGGACCAACCCGTATGTCTCCAATTGTGCGGACTTGGTGACACGTGCTAACTTGTGAAGTTCTCAAATAAACCCGTGCAGGGTGCTCATCCGATTGACAAGCTCATTAACGACGGCGGAAAACGATACAAAGATCTCCTCTCCCGAGAATCGCATACCCTCGAAGAAGCAGCCCAGGCGTACCGTAAACGCCGTGGTCGTCATCCTCCGCCAGGTTTCGATAAATGGTGGGATTTCGCCAAGCAGAACAACGCCATCGTGGTGGAAGAGTTCTGGGATCAGGTCTACCACGATATCGACCCGTTCTGGGGCGTTCCTCAGCCTATCATTCGAAAAGAGGCGTACAGCTTTGAGATGTCGATCCACATTCGAAACGGTAAAGCCAATTCAACGAGTGATTGGTTCTGGACGTTGATCTGGCTTGATATGATTCGTTCTATTGAACACATGGTTCCTGATCTGGATATGCCATTGAATGCGATGGACGAACCCCGTCTTGTGGTGCCGTGGGAGGATATTGATGGCTACATGACCAAGGGCGCTGCATCGCGGAGTCTATGGCCTGCGAAGGAGGTTGTTTCGGAGTTTCAGAAGCTTCCTATTGCTGGGCGACATGATAGGGATGTCAGAATCCCTTTCAAGCGATGGGAAAAGACCAGTACGTTAGCCAGAGTGTTTTGTTTTGGCGTTTGCTAACAGTTACAGGCCCATACTGGCCAATTGCCCGTCGAGGATGTCCGCCAGACAGTCCAGCCCGTCAAGCGCCTCTAAAAGAATCCTTCAACCATCCCCCCGATATCGACATCTCCAACGCCGAGAAGCACTCTTTCGCAGGCTACGTCTCCAATTTTACACTATCGAGCGAAATCTGCCACCAGCCCGACCTTCAGGGCCTAAACGGTCTTCTAATCAACCCCATCTCTGTGTCATCAACAAAAGTATTGTTCCCTATGTTTGGCGGCTCGAAACTCGCTATCAATAATGAGATTCTGCTCCCGCCGCCGATTTACTGGAAGGGAGAGGATCGCTTCACGGGTGGTGAGGATAATGATGTGGAGTGGCAGAATAAGGGAAACACTGTGGTCTGGCGCGGCGTCGCGACGGGAGGCAAGAATAAGGCTGAGAATTGGCGCGGTTTTCACCGCCATCGATTTGTCTCGATGCTCAACCAGACAAAGGTCTCGGCTGTTGAGCACGGTACGGAAAAACCTGAGAATTTCGTCCTTCCGTCGGAGCAGTATCATCTTCACGCCCAAGCTGATGGTCGTCTTGGGGAGTGGGTCGGCGAGTGGTCTGAAGTAGGCTTCGTCGATCTCATGTGCTCCCCCTCTGAAGAAGATGGGCGGTGCTGGTACACGGATCATTACTTCGCCAAGGTTGACGGTATGGACATGCACGAGCAGTTCGACTACAAATACGTTCCCGATATCGACGGAAACTCCTTTTCAGGTCGCTACCTCGGCTTCCTCAACTCGACATCCCTGCCCATAAAAGCAACGCTCTTCAGAGAGTGGCACGACAGCCGTCTCGTGCCGTGGGTGCACTTCGTCCCCATGGACAACAGGTTCCAGGACTTTTACGGCATAATGGAGTATTTCAGAGGGTACGGAGAAACAACTGGTCATGATAAGGCTGCGCAGCGAATTGCGCTCGAGGGCAAGGAGTGGGCGAATAAAGTGCTCAGAAAAGAGGACATGCAGATTTATGTGCTGCGGTTGTTGTTGGAGTACGGGCGGGTCATTGCGGATGATAGGGATAAGATGGGGTGGGTTGATGATGCGCTCAAGGATCCGTCTATCGAGAAGACGTGGAGCAAGTTGAAGATATGATACATCATTGTGTGGAGTTGGCCTTGATTTGGTAGGCGATGGCGTTTTGGCGTGGTTTATTTTTGATGCATTGCATGTCGTTTTGCTCTACGGACAACGACCGGGGTTTATGGCATCTAGTTAAGTCAAGTACAGTACATACAGCTCAGAACGAGTTCTTAGTTCATTGTATCAATTATCATGATATACAATTCTATTTTGTCTATAGTGTGAGGATATGGTACATGTAAAATATTTGATGTGTCGCTATATTCGTACAATTCATATAACGCCGCCCATAGAGGTACCCTTAGACTCGTCGTCTTGAGGTGGGTCAGTATCATTATCATCCATCAACCTGCCCACAAGCGTCGTATACTCAGGAGCAAACGGCCACTCCAGATACGCTTTTATAATATCCGCCCATTGATCCTGTGTAACACAGCGCGCTACCAGCTCTCCATGTCCTGAAAGGGGAGATCCGCCCAGCTTAGGATCATGCAGCGATCGGATATCAGCTGCACAGTCGCCGAAGCCAGGCCAAGCGCCGTCCATTGCGCTCGTCACTGGCGCAAGCATGTGCTGGAACCAGTAGCGGAGCATGGTATCTGAGATGGTGCCGTTTCGCGCAGACGGGCCGTGCTGGCGTGTGTACTTGTTCATGGCCTTGGGCTGCAGGTCGAGGAGAGCGCAGGGCATGCGGGGGTAGAATTCATCGGCGCGTGCGGCGAGGGGCTCGAAGGGGCGGCGGTCCCAGAGAAGAGTTGGTTCCTTCTGGCGGAATAGGTGGTAGTTATCGCGGACCATAAGCCATTCTTTGCGTGTGTTTTTCTTGACGGCGTCGAGACGAGCGTTGAATTCTGCTTCGGCAGCGCGGAATTGCTTGGGAGATTTCTTCCAGAGCTTATTGAGGGCCTCGCGTTCCTGGAGGAGTTCGAGGAAGAGCTGTGAATCTACAGCGTCGTACTTTTCGCGGTAGCGCAGCATTTTTAACCGCTTCGATGCCTCTGAGGCGTCGTCCTCTGCGAATGCTGTTTCTAAATCTTCGAGTTCTTCGCGAAAAGGTCGGTTGTGTCGGGGCGGATGAATGCCTGCGAGCTTTTTGTTGGCGAGTTTTTTGTTGGCACGGAGATTGTTGTACATGATCGTCTCGCGGCCCTTGGGCATCTTCAATCCAGCTTCCTTCATGCGCTTGAGACAGTTGTAGCCCGACTCCATGTTGATCCACTCATCGCGAAGCTCATAACGATCCTCGACTTCGACGTCATGGCCGCAGATTTCATGGAGCCATTCGAGGGAGAGTTCTGCTTCAAAGGCGCCGCGTTTCCGGCGGATGGCACTTCGTGGGAGGAGGCGCCGTTTGCCGTCGTCGGAGATCCATACTAGCATGCGCACGAGACCGTATTGCTGGAAGAGAGAGGCGGTGCGGATGCTGGACATTAGTTGGTAGAGAACCATTGTGCTGACGCACTCGAACGATTGGTACCTCTTCGGTGGGCAGTAGCACAGATTGACGTTGACGAGCAGCGTGTCGTTGCGTTCGGGCTCGGCGGCGGGATCACGGGCGGTTTGGTGGGGGAGGGATTCGAGGATGGAGGTTAGGTCTTTCCAGAGGATGCCAGCTTTAGGAACGGCTTCGACGTTGGGTTTGTCGAGGAAATCGCCTAAAAAGGGCCTGTAGAGTTCAATATCGGGTTCCATGAGGATGTGTTTTCTGGGTTGCACGAGATCATGGAGAGTGCGACTCCAAAGGCCGGGACCGGGGTTGATGTCGACGATGTCGCATCCTTTATGGCGATCGAACGAGGGGCCGATGTACTGGGCAATATCATCTACACAATTAGCTTCAAACCAACAAATTGAGAGTAAACCGTACCGCAGAGACTTTGGCTAACGAGGTTGGCGCGGTGCTTGTCACCTATAGCCGCTTTCGGCCGGCCTGCCGTACGAGTCCAATGCCATAGTCCTGTATCTCGTAGGCGTTCGGAGAGTTCGTTTGAGGGTTCGAGTTGTTCGTTTGAGATTTTGGTAGAGGCGTGGCGAATTAGGGAGGGTGAAGGGCGGATGCGCCGTGGGAGTGATGAGCGAGCATTTTGGAAGGCGATGAACATGGGGATGTGTACGGCGTTTAGTGATTTGTGGTGGTGGGATAGCTGGTGATGGTGATGAAATTATGTTTTTGCCGTGGGATACCGCTTGATAAGATGGATAAGATAAAGATAGTGGGGAATGGCATTGAAGTGATTTACAAACAGACTCTCCAGTTGAGCATCTTTTTCATGGTTGTTTCTGTTTTAACTAAAGTTTTCTTATACCTTATATCTAGGTTATTTTGCTCTATAGGGTTTCAAATCACTTCTACTGACATTAACTGTATCGCGATGAACGGATGAGGGATGGTACAACAGATGTACCTATCATGAAAGCTGCGAGGTGTGATCAACCAAGAGCTGGATGTCACTAGCCAACTTCCAAAAGAGTTGAGGGATGGTAGAGTTAAATCACGGTATCTGATCACTTGACATACAACTTGAGAATGCTCTAAAAATACTGTTGTTCTTGAAACATGAAGCTGTCATTGCATGTTGATACCATCAGTTGTATCTTGGTGAACTTAAATACCAGAGAGGATTCTCCCGACCAAAAATTTCACAAGTTCTTTCCTGATACCAACTAGACACTATCTTAGATTTTAGATAGAGAGACACGAGTAGTCCCCTCTTGATTAGCCTTTTGATCCTGCAACAGTCAAGCAACTCAGATAGGTAGATGCTTCACCTTACTTGTCCTTCAACTACCCTGCACTTCAGCATCATCGAGCATCCAACGCTAAGCCCAATCTGTACAGCTCTCACGACATCTGCAAGGGTTTGCTCTCCCTGGACCTGTACATACTCAAGATCATATATCAACATTCATTTCATTTATCCACACACCATGTTCCCAAGTCAAGCCAAGCTACGAGATAAATAAAAACTCCACAAGACGCCGCCATGCTAAGACATAATCCTGTAAACTCGCTACCTCCCTTGTGTTATATATATCTGTCTGTCTCCCCTATCATGCGCCCTCGCTTCCAAACTCATTGGTCCACTCAATCTGCCTTGCAATATCATCCTTGGAAACAGTCGGATGCGAATCGTCAAGCGCCATCTCGAAATCCTTCAGCGCAACATCCGGTGCAAGTAGTTCGTCGGATGAGACGTCGTCGTATGTCATCTCGATCTTTTCGGGGTCGCCTGGTGAGCAGGGTGTCAACATGCGCTTGCCGTCTTTCATAACCTGGATTTGTTATGTTAGTCAAGGTCGAATGCTGTGAAGGGGTTAAGGTAACGTACAGGCTTGAAATGCGTGGCTTGTAGAATCTTGCGGACTGGTCGCATAAGGGCAGATTGAACAACGTTGGCGATATCACTACCAGACATTCCTTCCGACTTGGCGGCAAGAACATTGTAATCGCTGGCCTGGAGCGAGGTCTCAGTGTCGCCGATGGCTAGCTTGAACATGCGCGCGCGACCGTTCAAATCGGGAAGGCCAATATGCACACGGCGTTGGAAACGGCGGCGAATAGCAGCATCTAATTGCCAGGGAATGTTGGTGGCGCCCAGGACCAGAATACCCTTGCTGTCGTTGCCTACACCATCCATCTGAACAAGTATCTCGGTCTTTATACGACGTGAGGCTTCCGATTCGCCTTCACCTCTCGGGCCGCAGAGGGCATCGATCTCGTCGATGAAGATAACTGAGGGCTTGTTTTCGCGCGCCATGGAGAAGAGCAACTTGACGAGCCTGCAGGGGTTAGATAGAGCACCAAATGACTGCAGGGACCGTACCTTTCACTTTCACCCATCCATTTGCTGACCAAGTCGGAACTGCTGATACTGAAAAAGGTGCTGTTTGCTTCTGTCGCTACAGCCTTGGCGAGGTAACTTTTACCCGTTCCTGGAGGACCGTACAGCAGAATACCCTTCCACGCCTGTCGCTTGCCCTGGAACAGACTGGGGAACTTGATGGGGAGAACAACAGCCTCCTTCAGCGTCTCCTTGGCACCCTCGAGACCAGCGATATCCTCCCACCGCACGTTGGGCCTCTCCTGGAGAATAGCACCAGACAGCGCGTTGCGCAACTTCTTGCTATCGTCGTCCTCACCAGCCTGCGGCTTCCCCTTGCCAGTTGAGCTGCCGTTAGCGCCCATGATGGCCTTTCCGCCGCCGTTTGCGTTCTCGTTCTCAGCGGCGAGGAATTGCTTGAGCTTTTCTGCGCGGTCGAGGTACGTCGCCATTTTCTCCTGCATGGTGACTTTGAGGGCCTTGTTCTTCTCCCACTTGAGGGCCTTGACCCAGAGCTCCATGGAGGACATGTATAGGTCGAAGGCTTTTTGGTACTCCTTGTTGTGGTCGGCTGTGATCGCCTTTTGCACCTCTGCTATGGCGCGATCGCGGAAGTTGGTCGACATGGTGACGTTGTTTGGGGTCGATAAACGTAAACGTGGGGGAGGGGGTGACGAGACTCGAGGCTCCCAGAGGAGTAAGGGGATGTCGAAGAGGGGAACGGGGAGTGAACAAACAGAGCCTCGAGAGGTTAAAGTCGTTATAAGATGGTGGATGGTGATGAGGCAACAGTGCAGCAGCAAGCAAGCAAGGCAGTAGGTAGGTACAGACGGACAGGTACAGGCTGTGGATTGAATTGGCGGGGAAACATCAAGATCCACGGTTGGATTGGATTGATTGAGCGCAATGCTTATAGCGGGGCAGAGTGGGAGGGGCTGCACAACCTTTACCTCGACATTCTCGACCTCTGCCTTGGCGATTCGATTTAGGCGACAATTATAGGACACTCTAAAAAGACGAATCCGAAATAGGCAGGACTTTTTTGTTTTTCATCTGCTTACTGATATTTTACCGCCTTTTACATCATCATGTCTGATCCTCAAGCACGGTTACAGGCGCTGTCTGAAGACTTCCAGAAGCTTCAAGGCGGTATGTTTAGGGACATTTGGAGAGGGGATTATGCTGATTGGGAGTAGAACTTCAGAACGCTGTGGCGTCGCGACAGAAGTTGGAGGGCCAGAAGCAGGAGAATCTTGGTGTGCAGCAAGTAAGTGCTGTCTTGAAATACAGCGAGCATGGTTTAATGAGGGTCAGGAATTTGAGCGACTACAAGAGGGAGAGACAATCTACAAGCTCGCTGGGCCAGTGTTGCTGAAGCAAGACAAATTTGAGGCTGAAAACACAGTCAAGGGTCGTCTAGACTTTATCAGTGGTGAGATGTGAGTATTCTTGCCCCTCACTACGTATCGCATGCTGATGTTCTCAGTACACGACTAGAAGACACAATCAAGGAGACACAAGAGAAGCTTGAGAAGAAAAAGACAGAGATCATTCAGATCCAGACCGCAGCTCAAAGCCAGGGCAAGGAAGCACCTCAGTAATGACCAGAGGGATGAAAGAAAAATAGACCATGAGTTGAGTTATATTCTACAGTACGCGGATTATGATAATGCAAATACCTGGCACTTTATGAGCGCCGCGCTAATCGGAGAGTCCCTTGTAAAACGCCAGTCGTCAAGTTTGAAGTTCGTGATGTGGTTTAGTTGATCGCCATGATGCTGAAGCCCCAGGGAACGCCCATGTTCTTGTGGTCTTGAGCTGCGCTGGGGGAGAACATAAAGTCTTGCTTGTCATCTGCAGCAACGGGCTGAGGTGTCACAGCGTCTTCATCTGCGTCGATAGCAGAGAGGATAGCTTCAGCAACGTCGCTCTTTCGAGCACAGTTCTCAAAAACAGCATCACCCTCAATGAGACTCTGCATCAATGCGCGCTGATCACTCTCCGTGAAGAGCTGCACCTCACGGTTAAGAACGCCATAAGTGACCTTCTCACCAGTCTGAGCCAGGCGCTGGAAAATCACCGTGAAGGCAGCGATGGCCTGTGCGAGAATACGGGCTTTTTGCTTGGAGCTCAGATGGGCAAAGATCTCAGAGTCTTCTTCAAGGGCGGATTGGGTGTTGGTGTCGAAGATGGATTGGAGGATGCGGTGCAGGATGTTGCGGCATGTTAGGTCGAGATCGGCGCTGACGTCGAGCTCGAAGACTGAGGAGATGCTGCGGAGAATGCTGGAGAGGGCGTCGAGAGGGCAGAGGTCGTTGGGGAGGGTGACGTGCCCTTGGTCAATTGTGAAGATGCCAATTGCGGCGTTGACAGCGGCTGGGGATGTTAGTCGAGGGTTTGAGAGGTAGTGAGGGTGGTTTACCTTTGCGGGTGGTGTCAATGTCGATCTCGACGCTTGAGACGATGGAGTTGTTCTTGATGGCTTCCATTGTGATGTAAGTGAGTGAGTGAGTGATAGGAGAAGTATGAGAGATATGATGAGCTTGAATTGAGATATGATGCTAAGCTTTATAACCATTAAGACCCGGGGGATACGCGGGCTTTTAAACTCGTCAGCCCCTTACAAAAATTCTTTCCCAGGAGATGCCCAACTCGTTGAGGATACGGTATAGTATCCTGGCAGCCTCAATAACAAAGGCCCTCATGGCCACACCGTGGTCAATGCTCACCTTACCTGAGGTGTCATGGACGTGGATAGATGGGCCGATAACCGTCCTTCACCGTGGGGTGTATTTGGCCGACACGACATGGTGGCTGCATGATCATGATGAAGCTGATGTATGATGCGAACTTTGGGGGTTGACCAAGAGATAGCTTTCTCTTGGCAGATATATCACATTCTATACTTCATGATGAGATGTTGCCTGATCAAGCACTCTCTCAACATGAGCATCTTTCCTCCGTTGTCTGTCTTGTTGCCTCTTCTGGAAGTATCTCGTCAAGGATCATGACCCGGTTTCCCCGAACCTAAACCTTGATTGCTGGAGATTTTTGCTGGCGAATTCTCCCGATGTCTAGAGAAGAAGCCGGAAGATATCGGGATACAAGGACAAGTGCTCAAGTTACTGAGGAAACTTCCAAGGAATATCCGACTCGGTGAGACAGCGTGGGGATCGCATTGCAGATGGGAGATGGAATTGTACGATTCACATGAACTAAACACGCCATCCACTCCATGATTCGAGAAGTGGCTGCGACGCCACAGATATGAGGCTGACGTT